GTGTGTGTGTGTGTGTGTGTGTTTTTCCCCTTGTGCCAAAAAGCCATTGCTCTCACTTTTCTTGCCAACCAATCTCAAGAAGATAACGGGACAGCAAAATGGTGTAGGGTCTCCTGCTTAAGTGTGGGAGGGGTTGATGTTTGGACTAGATGACCTACAAGGTCCCTTCCAACTCTGTTAATCTGTTAATTCATGGAGAGAAAATGGGAAACTGGGATCCCTTCCTCTCCACAGTGGCTGAGGAGTTTCTTTTCCCTGCTGAAGGGGAATGGAAGTGGTTCTTTAGTCTCTGTATCTCCACTATAACCTTATGGGATCTTCCCTGCAGGAATGTCAGTTGTACACCCACCAAGTACAGGCTTTGTCAAGTCCCTTACAAAATTCAGACCAGTAGCAGACCAACCCAACTCACAGGATTGAAAATAGGAGATTGGAATATTGGGCATGTTTTCCATGTTGAGTGACCAGTATAAAAATAAATACAAAGGCAAGATAAAAATCTAATAATAATGCTTGGATTTAAGCCAGGGAAATAAAGATGGGTTATGGAATCTCTGAAACTAGATATTTAGTCCTTGCAATACTTATAGAATACAGGAAACAGTTCTTATGATTTGATTAATATTCTTTCTCAAAGATTCCAAGCCGAATAATTGATGTCCCACCTATGATATAAGACTGATAAGTCCATCTGTTCGTTTTTAGCCATGCCTTGGTCAACCTTTGAGTGAAAATTCCCTTAGAATTGCTCCCTATTCTGCCTGAAAGAGCAAAAGTGGATAGGGATAAATGATATCAAAACACATGTGTTTAAACAAATGTCTCTTGATAGATGTTTTTGTTGGGGTATAAGTCATACTGCAAGTGGGGGAGGAGAAACATATCAACCACTAACTGGTTGTAGTAGTGCTGGGACTCTGCAATCTGCACCTGTGACAGAGGTGGGGTTGGGAGAGTGTTACTTTCTTCCCTCCCTCTAATAAGAAATAACACTTCTGAAACTGGTCTGTACTTCTGTGGGGAAGGTGACAAGACCCACTTCCCTTGCTTCTCTTATCCACTTTGCTTATGGTTGTGACCCATGGCAAAAGAAATAAGAACAGAGGAAAAAAATCCTCTCTTTTCTGTTTTGCTTCTCATACTATGAGTTATGTAAGAAAAACAAGGAGAGAATAGTGTCTTGGTACCACTTGTTGAATTACAACTATGTTCCTTCCAGCAGGTAGCATCAAGGGAGATGTTTTCCCTTGTAGCTTTCTTCTACCCCAGGCTTCCAGTGCTTCACTGTCAATGCAAAATATGAGTCTAAAGTCTGATCAGTCTGAGTTGAGTGTATTTTTATGCCGGTTTCCAAGCTGCATATTTGTACTTTACTGCTCTGTGCAGAAGAGCTACAAGGTCACAGTTATACATAGGCTAACTTCTTAATAAACTGATAGTCAAGTGGGATACAGATATGTTTAGTACAGAGCTGTTTTGCAAGTTCTATCTTCTATAGTTTTTTTTATAGTTGAACATTTCTTAAAATAAGTAATGATGAGGATAATATTGTCTTATTTATTTATAAAATGTATAGACAGTCCGTCCTACCTCAAGGTAATTGGGCACCTATTTTCCAGATGACAAGGACAAAAAAAAAATCTGATATAGGGATTAATTGATTTATCTTTGCATATTGTGCTTTGCATCTAATAAACCTATTGTAGTTTGAAAACACATTGCTTCAATGATGTTGCTACATAGGAAAAAAATATCAACAGGTTAATATACCAGTAATTGGCAAATTAAACAAAAAGTAGAGTGTCTCAATTTGAACTTGACTTGTCACTTCATAGACATAACCTTACAATTTTTTTGAGTAATTGTATAGGTTTGATATATACTGTATATACATATGGCTCTCTCACACACCAGGTTCTGTCACTTGAATAAGGTCATTATATATATTTATATCTTCCATTAGCTTAGAAGTTTTAATTGTCTTTTTTTAGCACTTCTTTTTTTTTCCCCCAGGTTATTTCAGGATTGAAATTGACAAAATTGTTTGCATCAAATCATATTTTACCAAGTGAATGCCTCAATTGCTTAGTAGAACTTATTGAGGACCCAAATCTAAGCCCTCCATTAACTTTGAATGTTGTAGGCTTGCTTTCTCAATTAGGTAAGTTTTAAATGTATTTGAGATGCACTTATAAGTTATTTTATAGCTGGAAATATATGTGACATAATCTTATTGATGGCTCTGATTTCTTTCTTTTTCAAATAGGCTGTGTGTCCTATTACATTTTTAATTAAAGAGGAGTTCACTTGTTATTAGAATTATACTTCCTTGAATGAGGATTAAAAATAATAATTTATTGCACAGGTTTGGAGCAGAATAGTTTAATCCTTGTAAAAATAATAACAAAGTAAAATAATGATAACTAGCATGATATATACTATTTGTAACATATTCTGTACAACCTTATTTATTTCTATGACAAATTGTGGAAAATATAAACAAGAAGTTATTATGACTCATCAGAAATGAATTATCTCCATTTTATCTCTTATAAAATCTGAGGTAGAAAAACAGTTGAAACGTTTTCAGTTTGTTAAATTTAGTTAGTTTGTATTTTGAATATATGCGTACAGATAGTCTTTGATATACAACCACAATTGGGACTGGAAGTTCTGTTGCTTATGATGCGAGTAAGTGAGTTGTGCCTGATTTTATTAACTTTTTTTGCTCAGTTGCTAAGCTAATCCAGTTCCCCCCACTGACTTTGCGTGCCCTGGGAAGGTGCAATTATTTGACTCCAAGATTTTGCTAGGTCCATAAATACATGTCAGTTGCTAAGTGCCTGAATTTTGATCATATAATCACGGAGATACTGTGTCAGTTGTAAGTGTGGGTACTGATTGTAGGACACATTTTCTACACTACAGTAATTTTAAATGGTCATTAAACAAATGGTCATATGTCAAGGACTACCTATATTTATATGTACAATGTCTAGGGTGAGGCTGGAACTGGTTATGGAAAAGTAGAAAAAATGATTTTGTGGAGGCTTATCATTTCTGAAAGCTTTTCCAATTTTTTTCAGTTTTTCTGAATATATTTCTTACAGTGTTAATGATACATTTATTCTAGATAATGAAACCGGAGAAGCCCTTCAGAATGCTTACAATCTGTGTGGTGCCCTTGTAAGTGTAATTCTTCGAAGTTCTACAAATCCTATTGACCCAGTAATATTGCAAGTAAGAATGTAATGCTTTATATGTAAGAAATTATTATTATTACATTTACTTATTGTTATTATTTATTTATTTATTTATTGCCATTTAAAATATTGGCAGCCAATGGTCTTTTATGTAAATTGTTTCCAGATCCTGTCTCATTAGCATTCAGACTATGCTGAAATACGAATACTAGAAAAATCAGAATAATGTATATTAGTATTTGCACAATTTCTATCAGAAATATAATTTTTAATTGATATAGTTTAGAAGCACAATTTGATTGCTTCTTATATTTTTATCTAAAAACTGCTACTTCCAATCCAACCAACGCTTATTATGGCAATAATAAAATGCATTGATCTTTATTATTAACAAAATTTAAAACTATATATAAATGAAATGATATGAAATACATTATTATAGAACTGTAGTACATTTAGCAGTGGCAATCAGGAAAAAAAATGTGCTAAACTTTAACTATAACTAGGACAGTACATAGATAGGGCAACAAATAATAGCACAAAATTGGGCAACCTGGAAAATATGACAGAATTCTGATCAGATAGAAGTAATGCCAATAAACATACTGTCTACCAGACTCCTTTTCTTTAAAAAAAAAGAAGATATAATTATATCTTTTGAGATTACCAGTACAGCACAGGAGCTTAGGCTTTTCATAGTGTCATATTTACACAGGTATCATGTTGCTGAAAAGGAATGTTTTATACACAGAACTGCCCTCAACCTGGTTAAGATGAAAGCCCCGTGTAATTTCAGAATTCAGACCAGGCTGAAGAGATATAAGATGATGGCACATGCCGATTTGAGAAGAATTTAGGGTATAACTGTAAGATTAGATACTAAGCTTAAAGTGGTGTGAAAATCACTATCCCAGATACGTTGTTTAAGGTAACTCCTGACATTTTCAATCCTAATGGACATAGACTTTTAAAAGAGTCAAAAGAGTCTTAAGGACTGGAGTTTGCTAATAGCTTTTGTTAGCCAGGTTGATTTAAAGCAATCTCTGAGAATCAATCAAGCCAGACCCATAGATGAAATGAAATCAATTTTAATCAGCGATTAAGGAAATAGACAGTCTCTGGCACCCACAGTAACTGCATCTGCCTATAATCTTGATGCATCTTGGAACTGCAAGTATTCCTCTTGTAAATTTGGCTGGACAGTTTACAAGATATTGAATTGTAAAAATATAAATTTAATAAAGAAGCCAAGAGATGACCTGAACCAAGAAAAACATTGAAAGCCGGAAGAATAAAATGTTCTCCTATTTGAATAGAAGAATTTTATGACAACTCTGGACCTATGTTAGACTATGTTATTGTCCAATAAAAGAAATGCATGCTCCATCAGCTATATCATAAAGTTTTACATTAACTTAGATGTAAAATAAAGGACAACAGTAGTAATGATAATAAATCTCTCTTTAAGCGTTACTCAGATCAACATTTTATTGACTAAACCAGTTGAAAGAAAACAGGTGGATTTATCAAGAAAGAATATTTGGTCTGACTTAGTTTTTGTAATGTTTGACATTGCCCTCTGATAATTAAATTTCATATATTTTTCTGGTTTTGTTTAAATAGTGATTTTTCTAAAAGTGCAATCACTAGGTTATAATTTTAATACCATTTCAATTGAATAATGTTATTATATCCACCACAATTTTAAGACACTTGGCCATTTACAACAATTACAAACATTTTAATAAAATATCCATGGTGGAAACAAAATATTTAAATTCTAAAACCAAATAATATAATATATTATCTGATTATGCATCTTGAAAAATAAATGCAGATAAATCTAATGCAAACAGTTATACTTTCATTAATTTTATTTAACAGAGTATTCAACTGCTACAGAAACTGACCTACAATGCAAGAATACTGCAAGCCATTGCTAATATTGAAGACTTAATTTCTTTCCTAATGCTTCGCATGTAAGTTTCTTAAATGCAATTGTTAAATAAATCTGCAGTTGTAGGCACATTTATATCCCTGAATTTTCAGTTCAGTTATTCTGTGTAACTTAACCCATGCAGTCTTGAGATGCATGGAAATATGTGACAACTGAGTTTAAATTTGGAGGCATATTGGACTGTTTTCTAGAAGTTTAGACTAGGCTTTCTAATTGGAGATGTTCCTGCTACACTAGTGCAAGAAAGGGAAGATACTTTATCCTTGTATATTAATCCCTGCTTTCTTTGAGCATTCCTCATGGTTACCATCAGTGTGGTCTATCCAGTGGTGGGTTGCGGATTCCGTTCCAACTGGTACGGTTGGAACGGGCTTGCTGGCGTCTACATGAGTGCGCGCAGCCCATGCGTGTGTCTTGGAGCTTCTGTAAGCCTCCGCAATGCTCCAGCTTCTCAGCTGAGTGTCACGCAGGTGCTGTACATGCTGTGCACATGCGCAGAAACGCTGAAGACGTAAAAGGACGGTAAGAAGCAAGGGCAGGCGGGCCCTCCGGACCACAGTACTGGAATGGTATCTGGTGTTCTGGGCTGGCTCTGGTATACCCATACCGGGGCGTACCACCTGCAACCCACCACTGGTTCTATCACATATGAGGATTTTGAACATACAAAGCTTACCTAAAGCTTTAGAATAATACTTGATTGCTAAAATTCTTGCCATTCCCATCATGAGAGTTTCAAGCATTTATGACAACCATGACCTGGATGACAGAATCTCCATAGACAAATTCCAAGAAGGTTTTGAGTCTCTACTAGTTATGAGACTATGCCACAGGAATGTCTCTCTTTTTGTTTGGTCAGCTGCTACTGCATAACATAATAGGACAACCCAAACAATTATCCTATAGAATATACAATAGAAGCCAGCTGTCCTTAACATTAGTATATAACCGTGATGGCGAACCTATGGCATGCGTGCCACAGGTGGCATGCCTAGCCATTTGTCAGGGCACACAAGGCGTTGCCCTGTCAGCTTGCCAGCACGCATGTGTGCGCTGGCCAGCTGACTGGCTTTCTTTTGAGGTCATTTTTTGCCCTCCGGACACTTCCTTGAAGCCTTCCTTGAAGCGAAAAACTGGCCCTAAAGGGAAACCAGAGGTTCAGGAATGTACTTCCTGTTTGCTTGTAGGGCTGATTTTAGCCCTCTGGAGCTTTCAGAAGGTTTCTCTGAAGGTACTGGAGTGCAAAAAACGACCCTATGAGCAAACCAGAAGTCACTTCCGGGTTGCTCGTAAAGCCGGTTTTAGCCTTCAGGAGGCTTCCCTGGAGAGCTAAAACCTCCCCTACGAATAAACCGGAAGTGGCTTCCAGTTTGCTCATAGGGTTGTTTTTTTTCCCCTCTGGAGCCTTCAGGGAAGGCTCCTGAATGCTCCGGAGGGCTAAAACCGCCCCTAAGGATAAACTGCGTGTTACTTCCGGTTTGTTTGTAGGGTCATTTTTTCCCCTCTGGAGCCTTGAGGGAAGCCTCCTGAAGGTCCCTGAAGGTTCCGGAGGGCTAAATCCGGCACTACGAGCAAACCGGAAGTCCGTTCCTGAACTTCTGGTTTGCCCATAGGGCCAGTTTTTTGTGTTCGCCCTCCCCAGGCTCCTATAAAGCCTCTGGAGCCTGGGGAGGGTGAAAAAAGCACACTAAAAATGGGGAACACTGGTCGTGCGTGCATGCGTGCTGGGGTCGTATGCATAGCATTATGGGTGTGGTACGCCCGTACACGACCCCCCTGCACTCCCACCACTTTTGGCATGCAAGCCACAAAAGGTTCACCATCACTGGTATATAAGCCTATAGTTATTGCAGAAGTGGTTTGTCCTGAACATTTAGTAGAATAGGTCTCCTAGTATTCAATGCATCCAAGTATCACATAGTGAGGTGGTATTTATGAGCATTTACAAGTATTTTTAGCACTTTATTATTGACCACCTAACTATAGGCAATCTATTCTCAACCAGCTGTCAGTCACCCTATTTTTCTCTTTTTATTGCTTAATAAAGTGAATAAAGTAATTTGAATAGTTTAAATGCTGAATTTGTATTTTTCTTCAATGTTGCCTTAAATCACTAACATTTACAGTCAGCTATATAAGGCTTAATAATTCAGAAAATATTCACTTTGCTATACAATCTAGAAAACATTAATTTTAGTATATACATAGATTTGTATCTTAATAGATACAAATGCTAAAATTAATGTTTTCTACATTAATGTTTTCTACATTAATGTTAATTAATTAATATTAATTTATTAATGTTAATTAATTAATGTTCCCTAGATTGTATAGCAAAGTGAATATTTTCTGAATGAATAATGATTAAACTGTAAATACTAGTAAATATTGAATTATTTTAAAATATTTAATGACTTTTTAAAAATCTTCAGACAGTCTACAGAAGATGAGTTAACTATACCATGCCTAGGACTTTTGGCAAATCTTTGTCGACATAATCTCACTGTTCAAACATATATCAAATCATTGGTAAGAAATTTGCTTTATTGAAGTATTTATTAAAACATTATTTCCATAATTTAATAATTGTAAATCAAAGTAATTTTGGTCCATAAAAGGTCACAATTGCTTATTTAATCTGCAAACTTTTATTTTTGTGCGATTTTGATGTTTTTTCTCATTCAATTTTATTGTGCAAAAATACGAGATATTTTATCTAAAGCGATTCTACTTTTTTCAATCAACTTTTATTCTATTATTCTGTAGTTCCACTATGAAAGGATCAGATCCATATTCATTATAATTAAATGGAATGTAGATATCTGTGACCATACATTTACAGACAGTTAACGTTTCCTAATACATTTCCAATTGTGTTTACTTGCTTAAATGATTGTGTAAACTAAAATATGTCTTCCTGATTTTTGAAGATCTATGATTGAAATTGAGCAAAGCTTAAACTGAGTTTTTCATAGTTAAGAGATCTCAGAATGTTGATCACTTAATGCTAAAAAATGAGCATGTTTACTGTTATGAATGCTGAATGTTATATCTTATGATTACAAAGTCTGTAGGTTTTGTTCCTAAATAAAATTATCCACATAATTTGCTTAATTAAGTTATCTTTTTATAATTATAATGTAAATGTAATATAATATTGATATGTATGTTACAGTGCAGTATATTGTAGGTAGCATAGTATTTTACAAATATGGCAGTCATGTCCTATGCATTATTTAGGTGTGTGTGTGTGTGTGTGTGTGTGTGTGTGTGTGTGTGTGTGTGTGTGTGTTTTCGTGGATTTTCATGGGT